CCTGCTCTCTCATCTAACCACCCTGTGATCCATCTTCTCCTTTGAGTCGCAGCAGTGGTAATGGAAGGAAAATCCCATTGTTCCCTTGATTGCTGGTACCACCCGAGGAAACTGCTACGTGCCAAATGCCTTGTCATTTTGCAGCTAGTGTATTTCTGTCCCATCTGATTCCTCTTATGCATTGCCATTTGGTCAATGCCTGTCTCATAAGCTGAGCTGAATACCTATGAGTGCAAATGAATTCCCATACATCAGTGTTTGGTTGTACCATTAAGTTAAAATTCTGATACAGATACAGGTGTGTGGTATAGAGAGACAGATGATTTCCTAAGTAGTAGTATTGCCACCAAGCCTTAAAGTAACAGTCTAGAGGTCTTGAAATATTTTATCCTGGATAAATAACAAAAACTTTTAAAGCCTAAATGTGTGTTAAGTGAGCATTAATCTGTAACTGGAGAACAACAAATAATAGGATTGTGGAAGATGTAAATTTCTGGGAAAAATAGAAGTACAAGAAACTGAAACAGAAGGAGGGGTAAAACTAAAGGGAAAAACTAAACAACAACAAATAAGTAAATTCCACAGAAGTGAAAATTTCCTCTAATTGGTTTTAACTGTGATGTATTATTTCACTTAAAACTATCCAACTGAAACTATGAAAAAAAGACTACTATAAAGTGTTGTAAAGTTGATAAGGATATATTCTTGCAGCTCTGGGCTAGACTATATTATAGGTAACTTCCATCTGTCTGCTCAATAGCATATTTTTGAAAGACTATGAATAAGGCACTGATTTAAATGTTAGAGTAGTTAAAATCCACAAAAATAGTAAAAACAACATTTTATAGTAGGTGAAAGAATAGAGCAAAGATGAAGGCAGTAGCCATTACATCCATAACTCAGAATCAGGCTTTAAGAAAACAGAAGAAATAAAAGGGAGCTGATAATGAGGGGCCCTTGCTGAGGATGCAGAACCTAAACCCAGTCTAAAACGTCTCTTAAACACACTCATAACAGGCATTGCTGTTAACAGCAAAACACACCGAAAATGCAAAATGAAAAAGAAAAAAAATCATCAATGCAAAATGTTGACATTGGAAATTAAACTTGAGAATATATTGTTCATCAGAATTTTGTTTTCCATTTTAATCATGCATATGGAAAGGTGGAAGAAAAGCCAATTGCATATGTGTCAGGGGGGTTTGTCCCTTATATATATTTGTTGCAGAATCACTTTTTCTTTTGCTTTCAACTCTTACTGTCTCAAGCTGTTCTTATCTTCTTTTCTTTCCATGCAAAACTATGTTTAGCAAGATATATTTGGAATGTGGATGAGAGAAGGAAGCTGGAAAGCTGAAGGGCAAAAGACTGTTTAAATGCAGTGTGCCCTTTTGCCTCCATTTGGCTTTTACCCTTGCAAGCTATGGTGACAATGAGACTAGCAGTCACTGCTTGGCCATGGGATCGTCACATCATGCATCACTGTCAGGAGAAGAATTAAAACGCTTTATCGCATGAGATATTTCAAAAAAAAACAAGAAATGCAAGGTTTAATACGGTTAGACCTAAATATGCAGTCAGTAGGAGTTTTGGTTGGGTGAGGAATGTAAGATCAGATACAGGATCATTCTTTCCCATCTGAAAAAGTGAAATTATGTCAAATTCAGCAATACAGGAAAAACAGATGACAGATTTGTGAATTAAGAAGGGAAGACAGTGTACAGGTGTTTAAAAAACATTTTTTTTTTGGCTCAGAATTATGCAACAGTGTGAAATGTAACTAATTTAGGGATTCCAGTAATTTATCTAGTCAAAGTGTTTTCTAGTTGCATACAGCTGATGGTTTTCGTATGGATTTTAAGTCTTGATGTGGCTAGGTAGAACTGACAAATATTAGGGACATAAGAAAATTACCTTCCCTTTTTCCTTCTCTTCTGCCTTTCCTCTGCTGTGGTTTGGAAAGGGGATAAGCGTATGTATGGAGCGGACAGTGCAGCACCGTATTGAATTACCCCCAGTCTCATAACTACCTGATACTGTGCAGTGATGCAGAGGGAAACTAGCCCTGCTTCTGCATCCAGGGACTGTGCCTAATTAGCCAGCCTATGTTTCTCCCTGTTTCAGAGGTTATTTGTCCAGAGCTACATTTCTTAGAGATCAAGCTCAGCTAAACCATAGAGGCATAGTCATAAGGAGCAGCATTTAGGTCTGTCTGTCTGAACAAAGGCTCAACAGCTCCTGACAAAGCAAGAAGCTTGAAAAGTTGCAGATATGCAGACATGATAGCAGAACAAGCATCCTCCAGATTTTTGATAACAAGACACCCGAGGTTTTTTAATTCCCGGTGTTTCCAGTATGATATTTTTCCAACGCTTTCTTTAAAACTCAAAAATGCCTTCACCTGAGAAGAGAACAAACCCTTGGGGTCAGAGTCTTCACAAACTTCTTTTTAATGAATAAATATATCTAATCTCCGTAATGAATGTCCCAACAGACAATCTCCCAAGGGCTTGAGTGTAGGAGGTCTCACCTCCCGGACTGAAACTTTCTTTTAAGCCCATCACCAGCTGATCTTATTTCCTCAGTCATGGAGTCAGGCATCTGTTTGTTGATGAAATACCTTAGACGCGTTCATGGGGAAAACCCAAAATCTGTCTTTTGTTTTAGTGAATTCACAGATTGTGAGCTTGCTTGCCATGTTAGGCAGGAAGAATGAGTCAGTTTGTTTCCCTCCCCGTTCTTTATCTAGAAGGGCTTCTTCTGTGCACACAAGCAGACAGTTTCTGAATTTATTGCCATAATTGTGCCTGTATTTACAAAAAAAAAAACACAAACAAAACAGACCTCTAAGAAAATATAAATTACTTTAAGTAACTTTAAGTTACTTAAATCTCTCTGAAATTCTATTAGAATTAAAGATACATTTCTTTACAGGCTTGATTGTAAATCCAACTTTAAAAAAAAGGCTGATTATGTTTTCCTGATAATTTAAAGAAATCGGCATCGCTATCAGCTTTGGCAATGAACACATGATTTCTGCTGGTCTAATTTTTATTTTCTTGTTTCTTAAGTGAAGCATTAAAAAGTATGAAACAGCTTTATGCTCCTTTTAACAAGAATGATGCTATTATACCAACAAAAAGAAAACTATTTTACCAAAACCGTTACCTGCAATCAAGACATTATAGCTTATTGGCATTGCATGTAGCTCATGTGTCTGAGGCATTTCTGGAGGCAAACAGAATTTTGCAGATGAGTGCAAGCTGAATGAACAAGGTCATCTTCAGTAGGGTTCAAGTGATTTTAAATCCCAAATCCACAAGACTCTATACTTGGATGTAGCATATGCGAGTAGCTCTTGCTGGTGTTGCCTTGACCTGCCAATAGTTTGCAGCTGAGCTACTCAGGTGTTTGCCTTAAGTGCATCATTACTTTTGTGGTGGCATAATCAGTGACTGAAGATTCTTACTAAATGCATGAAATGGTAAGCACCATACTCCCTGAGAATGAATTTGGAAAGCTGCCTGGGTTATATATTGCTGAAGACTGAGGTAGCGGGGCAATAATTAATAAACTGCTAGAAGGCAGAGAAATTTCACATCTAAAAATGTTTTCAGTAATGTGCCAAGAAAAGGGAATGTAATTCATAGATTAACATTAACACAGTCTCTGCTTAAAGATGGTTAACTCAGAAAAGGTAGTTTGAGCACAGTAGAAATCTGTTCTGAATGCTTTGTAGATAGAAAAGGATGCTTCTAGGTATTTTTTTTTTCTTCTTTCCTCAAGACTGCAGAATTACCTTCTAACTTTTGATACTGTCATGCTCTTGCATCAAACTAATACACAGTTTATCGTAAAAATTATTTTTTTCTGTTTGATATCTTTGGATAAGCTTGATTCTAATTATATTACCTAGGAACTTGAGTTTAATCTGTATATCAAAGCATGGCATCTTCTTAGTTTATTGGAAGATGAGCGTTTGTGCTTTTTTGTTTGTTTGGGGTATTTTTGTTTTAAGGAATAACTCCTTAGTTACTCGAATGTGTTAGTTTGTGACTTCCCGTTTGTGTACCTTAAACCCCTGTTGAATTCATTAGTTTAGCAGTGGGATTAGGTTAAACAGAACAGGATGCTTAAGAAGTAAAATAAGGGAAAGCCTTCCTTTGAATAGTGGATAGATCTTGTTCTGCATAGCTATTAGTTTATTTTCTTTCATCTTGCACCTTTGTGGTTCTGTTATTTTTTCTATCCTACTTTTTCTGTTCTTATCTGCATTTTTCACTTATTTTTCCTTCCATTCTGCAAATAGATGTCTTGAGATTCATTTAAAATTATTTCCTTCAGTGCCCTTTAAAGCACATTCTTATCTTCCTCGTACACTAGATGCATTAAATTCTTTCTGACATCAACATTACCCCTTGATTAAATTACAGCCCTGAATGATAGATATAAAGCAATATTAGTTTTATAATGCTACCTTATGTTTCACTTTTCTCTCCACTGAGCATTTTCTTTCTTATAAGAAAGAGGGTTTTTTTAGTGCAAGTTGTCTTGCAAAATGTTTATGTATGTGGCATTAAAAGAAAAGCAATAGAGATATAGCGCACACCTTTTTCTTGTACGTTATCTTTAAGCCTAACCTAGTGGTGAATATCCCTTATAATCATTCCTGAAGTACACACCAACCAAAATGTCTTCCTTCATCATCCGTAAATGAATTGGTTATAGTTGTTATTCTTGAGCTTAGTGCTTGCAACCATGATAAAAAACTCATCAACTTCTTAATTGGTATTTAGTGTCGAAGCCAGATTCATCTGTTGCCATTGTACTGGTACCAGCAAATGAGACTAAGAATTATATGAGTCCTTTTGTGAAAAATACGTAGGTGTTCTAAACCAGTCCTGTCTTATGAATGGGAAGTTCTTAAACTAACTGTAAGAAAATTTGGAAAAAATGATCCTTCTTATTGCAAACTCACCTTTATTGTTACTTCATTTTAGGTAACATTCAAAGCATCAAGATACTCAGTTTCACCAGACTTAAGATTTGTTCTTCTTGCATATGATGTTAAACAGGTAAGCCAGCTATTCATAATCAAAGAGCCTCATATTAAAACTCTGAAACCCTTGTTCTTTTCTATATTTCATCTGTGATCCCACCTAATATAATATGATTCATGTGCTTGATTTCTCTTCCCAAAACTGTCTGATGAAATGATGGTGAAGAATGTATTTAAGTGAAATAGAAATAAGTGAAATATAGAAATAACGCAAGGCTCTCAGTTGAGGCAAATTGTCATGGCTCCTCTGAAATGTCATGCCTGTTTATGTAGTAGAGGTTTTGTAACCCTTAAACTGTTCTGTTACTAGCTGATTATGTGAAAGCCTATCTTTTGATATTCCATCCCGTTTTAAACAGCTGTACATGTCGCTTATGAACTATACTAAAAAAAAAAAAAAATCTAGGCTGATTCATGTCATGGAAGTTTTATTGCTGGCTTCAGTAGTCTGAAACCTGATAGTCTGAAAGTCTCTTGGACTATATAATGCACCCTATTCTTTGTTTCTCATAGTATTTAGAGATTTTGTAGGCTATTAAGTTGTCAAAAAGAGTTTCAATCAATAATACCATATAGAGTTTTCTAAAATAAATCTTTGAACACAAAGACAAATGAAAATGGTTTTATGAATTTCCTCAGTGCATATTGGTGTTTGTATAAAAAGTGCTATTAAAATATGAACTGTTATTCATTACAGAATAGTTCTGGATTGATAGACTCAGTGGTTATTCAAGCAAGTTTGAGTTCTTTTGTGGTTTGTTTTTTTTGTTTGTTTGGTTGTTTTTGGTTGTTTGGTTTTGTGTTTTTTTTTGTTATGGAACAGTAAAATTTACAAATACCTGTTAATAATTGTGACCTTAATATCAGAAGTCAATGTTCAGAAATAAGAACAGATTGCTATTGTTTATCATATTATACTACAGTATAGTAGTTTACTTATTGTTTTGTGTTGGTAACTGCTAATACAATAGCTGTGTGTTGTGGATTGAAATTCTTAGAACAATAAAATATTCATTTCCAGGTCAGTATACAAACCTTTTCGGCTTCCTGGTAACATTGCTTTATTGACCTGTATACCTGCAGTTTTAATAATTATATCTGCAAACTGGAAAATGTGCTGAAAGCTTATCTGAAATATTCTAAAGGTGTTGATGTAAAATGATTCATTTACTTGGGACTAGATCCAAGTAGGTTTTCTTCTACCAATTCTAGTGGATTCTGGATCAAGCTCATTTTACGATATGTGTTGATCAATAAAGCAGGAAAGAGCAGCTGTTGTTCAGTTCAGTGTTTTTGTTGTAGAGGGTTCCAGTTTTATTCCTGTCTGAAAAATATTTGCTCCTTGCTATTTCCCTTCTTGATTGCTTCTTTTAGTGTGAAAGAGTTTATTAATCCCTTATACTGACTTGGTTTCCTCATCTGATGTATTGAAATTTTTGTTTTGGATGGGTTGGTTTGTTTGGGATTTTCTTAGTAGTTGCATATATAGCTGGTATAGAAATACAGGAAAACATGAAAATATCTATCACCTTTATTACATCTAAATGTAGTAACATCACGGATGAATCCCTGCCCCACAGTAATGATGGTCCATTGATGTGCAAATTGCTCTTAATGCATGCTGAATATATCACTTTGCAAGAGAACTCTCCATATTTTATTCTTGGTTTTCTTGCAAAAAGAAACTTTTCCTTCCTTTTACAGTGTAGTTGCTGGTAGAATGATAGAATCATTAAGGTTGGAAAAGACCCTTAAGATCATTGAGTCCAACCATTAACCTAGCACTGCCAGCCCACCACGAAACCATGTCCTCGAGCACCATGTCTACATGGCTTTTAAATACCTCCAGGGATGGGAACTCAACCACTTCCCTGGGCAGCCTGT